TTCTTTGCGTTTTGATTTTTTTTATTTGCTGCAGTATATTTTTATTTGCTGCAGTATATTTTTTATTTACTGCAGTATATTTTCTATTTGCTACAGTATATTTTTTATTTGCTGCAGTATATTTTTTGTTTGCGTTGAGCCTTCTGGGCCACCGTACATATCCAACGCGCGCTCTACATCTACATCTACATTTATTAGTCTTGCAAAGGGGGGCCCATCACGCAAGACATAAAATAACAGTAATGATAACAAAATGAGACAAAATAATTCGTGGAATAATTGTTAATTACCTCTTTTAATGTAATTGCTGATTATTTTCCTTACTTTGTTATCATAAAGTTTGTTGTTGTTATTTAAGTTTTTATTTTTTATCTTCTCTGCTGTCCGAGATATCCATGTTATTGTCTTTCCCCCCTTGTTACCTGTCCACAAAATCAGCTTGTTATGGTGACTGGGGGCACGCTGACGTCATCAAGCATATAAACTATAGTCATGTCACGATCTTGTCGATTGGTTTTTTGAGTTAACCAAGGAATCCAACACAAAATGGCGTCTTACAGAAGAGACCTAAAAATCTTATCGATCGCTCAGCTTGTAATGGCGGGTATCCTCTTCATACTCGGAATGGTAGACTATTTTGAGGTTCGCTACATGTATGCCAGTTTCATATTGATGCCAGTTTGGATTAGCCTTCTTGTAAGTACACTTTGCTTATCCACAGGATGCAGTCACAAGTTGTAAATCATTGTCTACTTTTGCATTTCTTGCTGAGGTTAGCTGAGGGTCTAGGTCAGGAAGAACACGTTAAGATATTGAATCTCACTGTTCTGAATAAGTCTAGCATCTGCTCATACAGTGTTCTGATTTCGTTATTTTGGGGCGGGATTTAGTTTAAGCTTAAACTGAAATGACTGTTTAAATCCTTCATACTGCAAATGTGGAGAACGTTTTACGTAGAGTCACATATCACCGGATAGTCTGAAACCATAAGAATTCATTGGCGTTCCACTTGCAAATGTCTCGTCTGTAATTCTCCCAAGAAGAATTTAACTACGTTCAATAGATTAGAAAGTAGTGACATTGGAGATGTGGGACACAAATTTCGCCTTTCAAGCGTATCGATCGTCTGTGACCTGACAAAGTTCAACTGCGGTTTCGTTGTTTCGATAAATTATGCTGTTTGTATAGGTTGAGCGACCGAAGTAGTGCGAAGATCGAGAATTATATCGCGGTACTTCCATAAACAATCCTCGCATCATTCCAAGTTATTTTAAGTTTTGCCATAGAATCAAATTAAACATTGCGCAGGATGCTTTATAGTTGCGGAAGTCGATTAGAAATTCTTATGATAACATTGCCAGACAGAGAGAAATCGATGGTTTGACTTCGAATTTCTTTTTAACGAACATTTTCAGCTTTTTTAGACAGAGGTTTTTTTAAAAAATTCCGGTGATAAGGGTATTTTTGGTTTAATTGCAAGGCATTTTCTGAAGCGCAAACGAAATTTAACACCTGCGGTTCTCCTTGAATTAATCATGATATCGCCTAAACAAGTCACATAATGTTTACCACCAGTATGTATGACATCTCTCAACCAAATTAAACGTACGAAAAGCTAACATTTTTCGGAAATTCCTTTCCTTCCTCAATAAACTGAAGACATGTGAATATATTTACAATGAATCTACTGACATCTTCGTCTGTGTCTCTAATTCTTTCTCACTTCTAAATTTATTTAAATTTCTTGATCCACTTTAACTTGTATCACCAATTTACAATCGTGCAGTCGAAATGCGTTCGATCATTGTGCTCTTGTCGATGTTCCTTCGATGTCCTTCGGTGACCTGGAACCTGAAATATGAAGAAACCACACTGACTTCATTGTCGGTATAATACGTGTAAATTAATAATTAATGATCGAGAGATTAAATATTCTTCTAATTTTGTTAGGTCGTACCCGTGGGCATCATGGGATTGGTTTTGGTGGAGAAATCCAGTCCTTCCTCTGCTATGGTGAGAATTAGTGATAGCGTGATACTTTTAAACTTGTCTTTTTTATTTGGTTTGGTTTTTTTTTTTTACCTAACCGCCTCCCAGTTAGCTCAATTGGTTAGAGCGCCGGACTGTTGCGCGGGAGGTCGAAGGTTCAAGCCCCGGCCGGGCCAACACTCAAGGTCTTAAAATAACTGAGGAGAATGTGCTACCTTTCTATAACATCAAAAAATGGTTAGACATTCTAGTCTTCTCGGATAAGGACGAATAAACCGTAGGTCTCCCGCATCTATTAATTAGTTCATTTGGTTAGGCAGGGAACGTTAAAGGACCCACTTCACGAGATTACTGTGATGTGGTCTGGCCTGTTTACTGGGAATTGGGGGGAGGGGGCATCTATCAGATTCTCCTTTATTGATTGTAAACTGTTACTAGCAGTCCGGTAAAGTCCCCCGCACAGTCTTGTAAAACAACTCGCAAGTCAGCATTAATTTTTGCAAGTAGTTGTTCTGTTATCACTATCACTTATCTATAATTATTTGCTTCTTCCTGACAATGCCAGTGGAAGACTATCATGGTGGTTGACCGAGTGCTTCGCACTGATAAGTTCTTCACGTTTAAAATACGCACGTGCACAAAATTTACGTAATGAAGACTTAGCCTCCCTGGTCATTCATTATTGCAGATAAACATCCTAAGTTCAGTGAGCATCACATGTGCGGCTGTGGCAGTACTAACCATTTATACCTATGCAACGACACTGAACTACATATTGTCCTACAAATATTGGGAGGCACAACGTGATAATGGTGATTCTGAAAATCCATGGTTTGCTAATAAAAAGGCAGAAATCGACTTCCGAAAAGAGGAAAAAACCATGATAGCTGTACATGCCTTGATTATCATGTGTTCCATCCTCCAAGTTATACTTGCCATGGCAAGTGTCCGAACTGGTGAGGCACTGGCTAAGGAGCCGCATGAAACCCAGGTTTGCGAAGTTTCTCCATATGCAGCCATAAATATTGATATGA